AGGACATTGGGAGCATGTTGGAGGGGAGGACGGCATCAGAGAAGATTTGCAAGAGGAAGTGACTTTTGGGCCCACCTGCAAAGTGATTAGAGTTAGCCAGAGTTGGCCAGAAGAACAAGGTGGACACTGGCTTTGTAACCTACCTAAACCACAAAGCCCAGTTCAAAACTTTCACATAAGCCCTTCCCAGATTGCCCTAATAGAAATTAATCTCCAAGGTCTATTGTAATACTTATTACCATCTTTCTTGCATTATGTATTTATGGCAAATATGATAATTGAACTCCTGGTAAATATTTAAATTGAAAATTGCCAAACTTTGCAGAAGATTCACAAGCATTGTTCTCTTATCTCAGACAGGCAGCTTGAATACTGAGGATTATATTTTCCTCCCTCATCAGCAAAACAGCTCTACAAAGCACCATAAACATATCTTTAGAAGGAAGTTATTTTGGTGTGTGGCATTAAAACTGGATACAGCAAGATGTGACAGGGACAACAGGCACATCAAGGGTCAGGCTTTGCTGTAATTAAAAGGTAAAGTCCCAATGTATATATGCCTTTATTCATTCAGTGGGTCTTTGTTGAGCACCTAGTATGAACTAACTGCCAATATTTGGTACTGAGAGTAGAGTGCTGAGCCAGACTTAAGTAGTTCTTATCAAGTGTATAGTTGAAAATAGACATTAAGTGAAGAATCACACAAACAGATGCAGACTTGTTGACTTTGAAGAGTCCAATGAAGGACCCATAAGGTGACAAATAGATGGGTCTCTGAAGGGTGTCTTGAAAGAGTCTGACTAAGGGATTAGCCTGGTGTGAGCAGTGCAGGAGGAAGTGCCATCAGGACTGGGGTCTGAACGTTAGTGGCTACTGAGGGGAAGGGAAAGAAAGAGACTACCAGAGAGGGGAAACAATATGAGCTAAAGGAGCACTCATGGAAAGCAGTGAGTAAGGGAAACCGAAAGAGAGCCAATGTGTTCAATGTAAGAAATTCAAGGAGTGCTGCAGGAGAGAAGGCTGGGAAGAGGATGGAAGACAAAATGCAAGGTCTTTTAAGCCATGGTAAGAATTGCCATTAAAAAAATAGATGAGTTCATGTCCTTTGCAGGGACATGGATGAAGCTGGAAACCATCATTCTCAGCAAACTAACACAGGAATAGAAAACCAAACACTGCATGTTCTCACTCATAAGTGGGAGTTGAACAATGAGAACACGTGGACACAGGGAGGGGAACATCACACACTGGGGCCCGTTGGGGGATGGGGAGCTAGGGAAGGGACAGCATTAGGAGAAATACCTAATGTAGATGATGGGTTGATGGGTGCAGCAAACCACCATGACATGTGTATACCTATGTAACAAACCTGCACTTTCTGCACATGTATCCCAGAACTTAAAGTATTAAAAAAAAAAATCAGAACGTCTGAAAATAAAACACACATTGAAAAAAAAAGAATTTTGTTTTTTATTCTAGGAGCAGTGGGAAACCATTGGATAGTTTTAAGCAGACAGTGACATGATCAGATTTGCATTTTAAAAGAGCACTCTGATTACAGCATGTGAAGAACCAGAAATTATACTAGTAATGGACCCGGAAAACTTGCTTCGTTAACGATTCTCACAGGTGATAAACACCAGAACATGGCATGTTTGATAAATTAGCTGTAGGTCATTCAGTAGGGTCATAGCAGTAGCAAACCCTAGCCTCTTTGGTTGAAGAGAAAAGAACAACCAAGAGGAGTCTGGAGCGTGAGAAATTAAAAGGTTAACTGGAGAGTTGTTTAACTCTTTGATTCACATCTCTCTGGCAGGCTCAGTAAAAACGTCTGAGCCCCTAATTTGCAAGCAAAAGAGAATAAAAAGACTGAAGATGACACTGTGGTTTGAATGTGTTTTTGCCAAATCCTTACGGAACCTCAAATAGCTGTGTATTTTGAGAGTGTTATCAATGCAGGAGTTGATCATGGAGTTTAAGGTTCGTATGGGCATGTCTGCACCTCCGCATAACGCGGCCTTTAAGCTCAAAGGTTCCTCAAGAGCCTCAAACCACATTACCAGACAAATCATGACAACAGCTGGAAACTTGTCACTTAAAAGAATCCGTTAGAAGGAAATTAAAAAAAAAAAAAACCCTCTGAGGGAGAGAACGTAGAGAAATGTGCTTCTTTGAACTTCGTATGAATATTCCAGCAGGAGACCCCAAAGATTGCACTCACCAAATGATTGTTGCCGAAACCCTTGTCAGGAAACAAGGCTGGGGCCCAGAAAGCAAAGACAAGGTTATCAACAACGGGTAATGGAAAGGGGTCCTGAGTCCTGGCCTGGGAAGCAGTTGGGGATGAATTACCAGGCTCCATTTGTGGCCCAGCTGGGAGTAAAGATGAAATCAGCAGTGATCCTGCCCTGATCTCATGCTCCATTTCAGTTCCTTTAAACTTGCATCAAATGGAGGACCACAGGATAGTCAGGGGAAACCAAAGCCACTTAAATATCTGTGGCTCTTTCTTCACGCCTATAAGTTGGAAGGGAGGCCATGCAGAAAATATTAGTGACAAATTGGCTGCATCTCACATGCATACCCATACAATGTAGCTAAATATACAGGAGTTAGAGAATGAACACACTTACGTATATGTATAAACATGCCTCTGCACATATCAACATACATATTCGTATATATTGTTATATAACTAACTGTCTTAGCCCATTTTCTGTTGCTTATAACAGAATACCTGAATCAGGTAATTTCTAAAGAAACAGAATTTATTTCTTACAGCTATGGAGGCTAAGGAGTCCAAGGTTAAGGGGCTGCCTTTGGTGAGGCCTTCTTCCTGGTGAGGACTCTCTGTGGAGTTCCCAGGCAGGGCAGGGTATTACAGGGCAAAGGGGCTGAATGTGTTAATGTACTAGTTCAGATCTATTTCTGTTCTTATAAAGCCATCAGCTCCTTTCACATGACCCATTAACCCATTAATCTATTAACCTATGAATGGATTAATTTATTCATGAGGGCAGATCTCTCATGATCCAATCACCTCTTAAAGGCCTTGCCTTTCAATACTGTTATATTGGGAATTAAATTTCAACATGGGAGGGAACAAATATTCAAACCATCTCACTATTCATACTTGTTCGTAGACCATATGCATGGGCACACTCATATACATTTGTACCCATACACAGGTACATCTAAGAGTGAATACATAGAAGTATACACATACTGGAACAAACAAAATTTTACATAGCTAATATAGATGTACAGATACATATCCACGTGCACATACATACATGCACATATATACATACATGCAAATAGCCCAGTGTATGAAAACTCAAGAGCTGAGCTGAGTAGACTTGGATCTAATCCAAATGGAAAAGAATTGGATCTGAAAGAATACTAGAGCTAGATTTGGCTTCACACCCTAGCTCACATGCACGTAGTAATCTGCACACGTCTTCTTCCTCTGAACCTAAGTTCCATATTATTGTTGTTTATTTTTTAATTTTGCATGTAAGAAATTCTATCAGGTTGTTACAGAATGCAAAGAGATTCCCAGAAGAGGTGACATTCAGTTTAGGCCTTGAAGTAGGTGAAGGGAATGAATAGAAAAGTAAATAGCATCAGAAAAGAGGTGGGCATTGCCTGTAATCCCAGCACTTTGAAAGGCTGAGGTGGGTGGATCACCTGAGGTCAGGAGTTTGAGATCACCCTAGCCAATGTGATGAAACTCTGTCTCTGCTAAAAATACAAAAAGTAGCTAGGCATGGTGGCACACACTTGTAATCCCAGATGCTCAGGAGGTTGAGGCAGGAGAATCACTTGAACCCAGGAGGTGGAGGTTGCAGTGAGCCGAGATCACACCACTGCACTCCACTCTGGGTGACAGAGTAAAACTGTCTCAAAAAAAAAAAAAAAAAAAAATTGATGATGGCTGCTGCTTAGAATGGGAGTTAAAGGAGAAAAGAAAACTGTGGGCCATATGTTGACTGGACTTAACTGCAAGGCTGAATTTGGCCTTTGTCTTTAGGGAATGGGTTGTGTTGGAGGGTTTTAAGCATTGGACAGTCAATAGCAGATTTGTGTTTTAGAAATAATGGCCTGGACATAGGGTGGTAATTGTAGGGATATCCCTGAAAGAGATAAGAAGGTTTTAAAAGCCTTTTGCAGTCATCCTAATGGGATGTAAATAAAATAAAATAAAATAAAATAAAAATCTGAACTCAAGCAGTGTCTGTGGGGAGTCACAGGAGCTCCTCAAATAATATAGAAGTATGAGCTGCCTGTACTCTGCACATGTGAGTCAGCACCAGCCATTATCCTGGATGCCTGATGAAGTCTTCTTTTATGTCCAATGTATGTAGTACGTATTTGTCAAAAGACTGTTGGATGACTTGTGATTCAGGGCCCTCTTTTTTTCAGATCTCTTTTTATTGAGACTTGGGAGATTGCTAATAGGCACCTGGGCAGCACTTTGTTTTGTCAACCTGTAGAGTCCTAAAGCCCCATCTAAGAGTAAAGAGTAAATGGGGAAATTATCAGTAATCCCAACAAGTAGAATCCAAAGGAGCTAATCAGAGAATGGTACAAAGGAAATAAATAAGAAAAAGTGAAAGATATGTTGGTTACACAGATCCAACTTCATATCAATCAAAGAAGAATAAATATAATATTGATAACAAATATTAAAATGTTACACTAATCACCTACTGTTTTCAACATCATGAATGCTGTGGCAGTTAATTTTACGTGTCCATTTGACTTCCCCATGAGATCCCCAGATATTTAGTTCAATATTATCCCTGGGTGAGCCTTGAAGGGTGTTTCTGAATGAGATTAGGATTTGAATTAGTAGGTTGAGTAAAGTAAATTTGCCTCCCCAATGTGAGTGGGTCTCATGCAATCCATTGAAAGCCTGGATCAAATAAGAGGCTGAATAAAAAAAATTATTCTTACTACTGCCTGTCTTTGAGCTGAGACTTTATTCTTTTGCCTTCAGACTCAGATGTGGCCTGGAAGTTACACCATCATTTCCCCTGGTTGTCAGGCCTTCGGTCTCAGCTTGTAAGTATACTATTAACTCTCCTGCATCTCCAGCTTGCTTGCCAATGGCAGAGCTTAAACTTCCAGCCTCTATAATAACGTGAGCCAATTCCTTTATCTATAATTATAACTAAATCTATATTTATCTATATCTACATCTATATATCTTATTGGTTCTGCTTCTCTGGAAAGCCCAGACTAATAGATATGTCATGAGGTTTATGAGATTTGGGCCTAAATAATGTCCACTCACTCCTCTAGACTAATACATACGCCATGAGGTTTATGAGATTTGGGCCTAAATGTCCACTCAGCCCTCTAATAGCAGCTGGTAGGGTATGACTTTTTACTGTGGACATTTGTTTTTAAATCAGCACAGCTTCTTGTATTATTTATTTATTTTTAAGGCAAGGTCTCACTATGTTGCCTAGAGTTGTTTCAAACTCCTGGGCTCAAGTGATCTTCCCATTTCAGCCTGAGTAGCTTGGACTACAGACATGTGCCACCACACTCAGCTACATTTTTAATAAATGAGATAGCAATCATTGTGTGATTTCAAGTAGACAGTACTCCCAGAGGCAGGATGTGTTAGTATTCTTTTGCTAGATGACAAATTACCACAAATGTAGTGCCTTAAAACAACAGACATTTATTCTCCCTCCCTCCCTTCCTCCTTCCCTCCCTCCCTCCCTCCCTTCCTTCCTTTTGTGCTAGGGTCTCACTTTGTCACTGAGGCTGGAGTGCAGTGGCACAATAACTCACTCCAGCCTCGAGCTCCTAGGCTCAAGCAATCCTCCCACCTCAGCCTTCTGAGTAACTGGGACTAAAGACACACACCACCACATCAGGCTACTTTTTTATTTTTTAAACTTTTTTTGTAAAGACAGAGATCTTACTATGTCACTCAGGCTGGTCTTGAACTCTTGGCCTTAAGCAATCCTCCTAATTCAGCCTCCCAAAGTGCTAGGATTGCAGGTGTGAGCCACTGCACCCAACTGTCCCACTGTTTCATGGGTCAGAAATTCATGCATAGCTTAGCTGAGTCATCTGCTCAAGGTCTCACAAGGCTGCAATCAGAGTGTCAGCTGGGCTGGAGTCTCTTATGAGGCCCAGCAACCTCTTTTATGCTCACATGGTTATTGGCAGAATTCATTTCATCAAAGCTATAGAACTCATGGTAGCTTGTTCTTTTCTTTTCTTTTCTTTTTTCAATAGACATGGAGGTCTTGCTATATTGCCCATGCTGATCTTAAACTCCTGACCTCCCAAAGTGCTAGGATTATAGGCATGAGTAACCATAACCAGTCAGCTTGTTTCTTGAGAGTCTTAAAGAAAATATCTTTTATTTATTTCATTTCTGATCTCTAGATCCTCTTCTAAATGGGACACCTAGTTAGGTAAGACTCACTTCTAACAATCTTCCTTTAAAGTGAACTGATTAGGCACATTAATTACACCTACAAAATCCCTTCACCTTTGACATATAGCATAACGTAATCATGAGAGTGATATCTCATCACTGTTCCCACAAACCGTTGGTTAGAAACAAGGCATAGGTATAACCCATACTCAGAGAGAGGAGATTACACAAGGATATGGGTCATTGGTGATCGTATTAGAATTCTGCCTACTACAGAGAAGAATGGACCAGTTTGTCACAGTGACTTGACTTCATTAGATGGAACTCTGAGCTGGTAGCAAATCAATTAACTCACACTGAAGGTCAGCACTTGCATACAGAGCATTTCCCCTCAGTTTTGAATAAAGTCTGGCTACGTTATTTTGCTATATTTTGGTTACTTAGGCCCACCACAATTTCCATGGTATCTTGAGCTACTTTAAATTAAGACAATTAGTCTCTATATTTATAAGGTAACTATTCCTTGGAAAAATATCACTAAGATATTCCAAGATATCACTAAGATCTAGCTGGTCAAGTTGCTTGTTGAAGGATGGTTCTACTTCTTGAGCTGGTTTCTGAAGTTTTGATTTCCTATTGATAGCTAGTGTTTTGCTAACTATCTGAAACAAGATTTATCCCCTCTTGAGCTATAAATTTCTCAGCTTTGCTTTGCAAGCCTTGGAGATCAATGCTGCTGTATTTCAGAGCTCCTCAATCAATTGCTGTTCTTGAGAAGAAAAGGGAAAATGGTTGAAATATGGTTGTCAAGATTGGCAGATTGTGGTGGACATTTGATGCACCACACAGACCCCCCTCCATGGATGAATATATTGCCTCAACTGCTGACAGTGCTGCTAGTGGATGACCCTGTCTCTCACCCTTCTTGAGGATTCTGTTGGTTAAGAAAATTGCCTCACTTATATGGTTTGGTTGTGCCCTCACCCAAATCTTATCTTGAATTATAGCTCCCATAATCTCCATGTGTCATGGGAGGAAGCCAGTGGGAAGTAATTGAATCTTGGGGGTAAGTTTTTCCTGTGCTGCTCTTGTGATAGTGAATAAGTCTCATGAAGTCTAATGGTTTTATAAAGGGCAGTTCTCCTGCACATGCTCTCTCGCCCGCCACCATGTAAGATGTGCCTTTGCTCTTTCTCTGCTTTCCACCATGATTGTGAGGCCTCCCCACCCATGTGGAACTGTGAGTCCATTAAACCTCTTTTTCTTTATAAATTACCCAGTCTCAGGTATTTCTTCATAGCGGTATGTAAATGGACTAATACACTCAGCCAATGTCATGTCTTGTTCCAGGAACAGCCCACATCCAGTGACTGATAAAGGCAGGAGTATAAAGGTATGTGGGGTCATCTCAGCTCCAGAACTATCTATGGAGTGATCTAATCCCATCACTGGGGTTGCATACAAGTTCAACATCTGCCTTTCCCTAGTACTGATTCCTTTCCCTCCTTTCTACAGGTGTTAATTCCAAGAGTACCTCCCAATAAATGCCCACATGCCAATCTCTGATTCCATCTGCTTTCCAGGGAATCCAACTTGCAACTGCAGAGAGAGAGGATTTGGGGAGGGTAGGTATCTGGACCCTCTCCTTTGCCTAGTCATTCCATACTACTTACTGTTCTATAAGCTTGTAGTGCTACACTTCCTTGACTTTACACAGGCTGCTTCCTCTGGCCAGATTTCTTCATTTTGTGACTGAACTTCTACTCATTCTTTGAGGCCTATATGAAATATGAACTTTTCTGCATATCCTTTTCTTATCTGTTGGGTGAAATTAATTCCCCCTCTTCTACAATTCCATTGCACTTTGTGCATACTTGTGCTACGTGTAGAGTACCTATCACATTATATTCTGTTTATTTGTTCATGTGTTACTTTTCCCTGCTTGATTGTACAATCCCTCAATACCTAGATTATGTAAGAAGGTTCAGTTAACAGGTATCAAAAAGCTTCATAGAAATGATTGGTTTAACAAAGAGCCTTTTTTGGGTTAGTAGAATTTAAAAAGGCAAAAGGATGCATCATTTTACATTGTAGGAAGGGTATGTGCAAAGTTTAGCAGCAAGAATGAGCATAGCATATGTAGAGGGGGCAGTGAGGTCATTAATCTAGCTGTAACAGAGGATGCAAATTATGGGAGATAAGAAAGGACCAGGAGGCTAAGATGAGCTTATGAAAATATTTTAATGTCATGTTAAGGTATAGGCCAAGAATTTCAGACTCCTGTGACTCAGGAGTCAAGCAGATAATGTGAATAAAGGTGTTTTGGTATAAAATTTTTTTTGACACTGGAAATTAGATTTGAGTATTATTTTACTTTTTCTTTGTCATTCGAAAAACAATGCATTTGTGATGATAAGTGACAGCTACCATTCATCCTTGGGGTTACAAAATAGAATTGCTAAGATTTATTACAGTGGTATTTTTTGATCCCATTGTACAAATATAAAACTTAAAGTTTAGAGGTTTTACTATTTTCTATTGATTTCTGTATTAATCTTTATTATTTCCTTTCTTCTGCTTACTCTGGGTATAATTTGCTCTTCTTTATCTGCTTTTTTAAAGGTGAAATTGAGGCCAATTATTTATGACTGTATTTTGTCTAATATAGTCTTTTAGCGCTATAACTTTCTATCAAAAAACTCTTTTAGCTGCATCTCACAAGTTTTGATATATTGTGTTTTTAGTTTCATTTTGTTAAAAGTACTTTCAGAGGTTGTATTTAATTTCTTCTCTGACCTTTGGTAATTTAAAAGTGTGTTATTCTGATTTAAAATGTTTGGGACTTTTATAGATATCTTTCTGTTATTGATTTCTTATTTATTTTCCATTGTTGCTAGAGATTACACCTTGGATAACTTGTATTTACAAAAATTTATTGAGACATTTTTATGGCCATAATATGGTCTATCTTGGTAGTTGTTTCATGTGTGCTTGAAAAAGTAAATGTATATTTTGCTATTTTGGGGTAGATCTATAAATATCAATTTTATCAACTTGGTTGCATTGTGTTATTCGTGTCTTCTATATTCTTACTGATTTTCTGTCCACTTATATTCTATGAGTTATTGAGAATCAGGTTTTAAAATCTCCAAGTAAAATTTTGGAATGGGTTAATTCCCCTTGGGGCCTTAACAAGTTTTAACTTAAGGAATCCGCAACAATAATAACAAGGTCAAGAAGGCCAATGTAATTTCCTCTTAATGAGTTACCCCCTTTATGTCATAAAATAATGCTGTTTATCTTGAGTAATACTCTTTGCTCTGAATTCTACGTTTTCTGATATTAATACAGGCACTTCAGGTTACTTTTGGTCAGCGTTATCATAGTACATCTTCTTCCCTCTTTTTATTTTTAATACATTTGTGTCTATATATTTAAGGTAGGTGTCTTCTAGGTAGCATATAGTGAAGTCCCGCTTTTGAATCCAATTTGAGAATCGATGCCTTTTAATTATGGTGTTTATTTGTGTTTCATATGATTATTGAAATAGTTTGTTTAAACTTGCAATGTTGCCATTTTTTTTCTCTTTGTTCTATTACGGGGTCCCCACTTTCTTTTTATGCTTCTTTTGGATGAATTTTATATTTTTATGATTTTGTTTTATCTCTTTGTTGGTTTATTAGTTTTAACTCTTCATTGTGTTCTTTCAATGATTGCTTTAGGGTTTAGAGTACTTTGGACTTATCACAATCTACTTTCAAGTGGTATTATATTCTATATACTATAAAAACCTTACAAGGGTATAGTTTCACTTTTTTGCTTCTGGCATGTGTGTTATTGTCATAACTTTTACATTTACATATGTGATAATCCCACAATATATTGTGGTTATCATTGATTTAGGCAGATAATTATCTTTTAAAGGTAATTAAATAATAAGAAAAGTAGTTTTATGTTAACTTATATGTTTACAGTTTCTGTGCTCTTTATTTCTTTGTAGATTCAAGATTCTATCTGGTACCATTTTCTTTCTGTTTGAAGTAAAAGTACTTCCTTTAACATTTCTTACAATGCAGGTTTGCTGGATATAAACTTGAAGAAGTTTTTCCTTCATCTTTGTTAAACAAAAATATTTTTGCTGGGAAAGAATACTAAGTTGGTTTTATGTTTTCTTTCAGTAGTTTAAAGATTTTGTACCACTTTTTCCTGGCTTCCCCTATATCCTATGAGAAATTTACTATTATCATTATATTTGTTCACTGTATGTAATACACTTCCTTTGCATGGCTGATTAGAAGCTCTTTTTCTTTCATTTGTTTTAATAATTTTGATTGTGATGTGCCTTGATGTAATTTTCTCCACATTTCTTTTTCATGGGGTATGTTGATATCCTTGGATCTAGATCTATGGCTTTAAAGTTTTCTTCACATTTTGAAAATTTTCAGCCACTGTGTTATACAATATTTTTATGTCCTCCTTTCAGGATCACTTACACATATGTTGGGCTCCTTGAAGCTATCCTATAACTCACTGATGATCTGTTCTCTTCTTCTTTTTTCTATCTCTTTTTTTGTTTCTCTTATGCGGTTTACTTTATTTTATTTCTTTGCAAACTTTAAAGTTTGTATATAAACTTCACAAATCTTTTCTTCTGCATTATCTAGTTTATTTTAAATACAATTTAGCATTTTTTTAATCTTATACATTATAATTTTTATTTCTTGAAGTTTAATTTTTTTATAGTCTTTATTTCTCTGCTTAACATATTTAATCTTTACCTTCGTGTATACTATCCTGCTATAATAAGCTGTTTTAAAGTCCTTGTCTATTAATTCTATAATCTTTTCTAGTTTGAGGTCAGTTTTGACTAATTGATTTGTTTCTTAATTATCAGTAGTATTTCCCTACTGCTTTGCATGCCTGCAACTTTTTTATTGGATGCCAGGTTATTCAAATTTTACCTTGCTGCATGCTGGATATTTTGGTGTCTCTATAAATATTTTTGAGTTTTGTCTTGGAATGTGGTTAAGTTACTTTGAAACAGGTTGATCTTTTCAAAGTATGTTTGCTGGTACCAGAACATTTAGTGTAGGGCTAATTTTCTGGCACTACTAAGGCAAAACTTGTCATGTGTTATACATGATACTGTATGAATTATGTGGTTCTCTCCTCTAACTAGTGGGTATAGCCTATGTGTGCTTTGCACATATTCCCTCTAATATTTGGGGTTATTTCTTTCATAGACTTGGGGAGTCTTCTCACATGCCTGCACTGATTTGTACTTAGTTGAATATTTGAGAGGGGCCCTCTGTAGATACCCCAAAATAGCTCTCTCTTTGCAGATCTTTTATCTCTAACACTCTTCCCTGTAAATTCCAGTTGTCTTTGCTCCTGTAGACTCTCATATCTGCTTCCTCAACCCGGGAAGTTCACCGGTCTCTGCGTGGATTTGCACTCCATGTACCACATCCTGGAAACCTTTTTCAGGTAGTAATATGAAGCATTAGTGGAGAATCATCTTTGTTTTTTTTTTGTTTTGTTTTATTTTTCTCAGAATCACTGCCCTTCTTTGCTTGAGGTCCAATGATTTAAGAATTATTGTTGCATATATTTTATCTGAATTTTTAATTGTTTCAGGCAGCTGGGTAAATGCAGTCCTTGTTACTCCATATTGGCTAGAAGTGAAATTTCTCCACTTGAACTTTTCAAAAGTTAATTTTTAAAAAGCAGTTCTAGTTAGGAGGACTGACTGGCTGGGTCCGTATCACTGACTTTAATTACCTTGCTTATTTGTTTGACTACTTTTGTTGTTGTTCTGTCTCCTTTTCTGGAGTGCCCACATTTTCTCTGTTACCCCAGCACCTGCAGGGCAATAACAACTGTAACAATGTAACAGCATGTCCTCCCCCTTGCCTCTAGCCTTAGAACTGGCACTGGCTTCCTAATCGTTGGTTATCTCTGGGTTTCCTCACCTTGGCAGCTATGGAACAGTGCTAATGAGATGTTCCTTTAACCGCAAGGGTAACATAATTGACTGATCATCTAAGCTGCTTTGCCACTGTATGGATTCATTTGGGGTTGGATGAGACCATGTTTCCTCCAGGCTGCTCCCAGGCAATGAGTGCACGTGGCAGGGAATTAGATCCAGTTCACTCTTGCCTAATTCAGGACTCTTCTATTGATCAACTATTTCTTGGAAACTCCCCACCCACCTGTTTGAGAGGCCAGACTGTGCTGCAACCTGAGGCTCTTCCTACCGTATCCTTCCTTCCATTGGTGTCAGATCTGACTTTCTGAAGGCTCCAGTTTCCTCTTCCTGCACCCTCCTGCTTTATACTTCACAAGTGCTTCCCCCAATAAATCTTTTGCATACCTAATGCCACAATGATGTCTGCTTCTTGGAGGACTCAAACATATATACTGACCGTCTCCTGATTAGCTTTGCAGTCATCTCAGCACACTCACAACCAGGCATAACTTTTTTTGTTTTCCTGACTAAACCCTAATTAATACAAAGCCTATCTGTTCCAAGAAGATACTTTAGGAATAACACATGGGCATTTCATCAGTTAGAGCTGTGTCCCTTATCTCTGTTTCAACCAGAGGAGGCAC